CAACCCCTCCCCATAGGGTTTTTTTGGAGTACGAAGATGAAACGTCACACCACGTCAGGGTTAATTTACTCCGAGTTTTCACATAACCGCTTCAGTGAAGCGTGCCGCTGCCCCCCCAGTGGCGCGGGAGAGCGAGGGCCCGATCACAGCTGCTTGCAGCTTTAATTATTATTATTATCTTTAACATACTCAAAAACTCTCCAATTTTTGTGTGCTCTGTGGCCCCCGTCAAAATTTTGGTGTGATATTGCTTTTGTTGGTGGACGGGAAAAAATGACTTGGCCACGCCCCTTAAACAGCAGCCCCCGCAGCATGTCTCACCGACATGCACGAAAATCAGTACATACCTGTATCATGCCCAGATGCACAAAAATGTCTCTTGGAGCCATTGCGTGAAGGTGCTCGGGCCCGTTCATCGCTGCCTGCAGCTTTAATTAGGGGTCCAAGCCTGCGGTACCTGGGGAACACGTATGCAAGCAGATGCGTTTCCCAGGACCAGCGATGCTGGGAAACTTATTGTTTTTGTTCAGATTTTTATTATTATACATCTTATTGTTTTTCCGTAAATAAAAGTGGTGCTGCAGGCTACACCGTGCAAGAGAGGGCGGTGCAATTTGGAGGGTTGCCCCTCATGAAAAACTGCTATTAAATTACTACACAAAACCTATTCGTGTAGTAGTGGCTGTGTAGTCACCTGTAGTAATTGTGTAGTAAATCTGTAGTTTATACACTACTCATGACACACCAGTAGAGTTTTGTAGTAAAACAGTAGTGTTTCCAGTAGTAACCAAGCAGAGTAGTGAAAGAGCTGTTAAAACACTACTGCTTCATTACACAGGCATTTAAATAGTGATTATGTAGAGATTTTACTACTTGCTTGTATAGTAAATGTGTAGTCACAACACTACAGCAACACTGCATATTTTAGTGATCAATTAGATTTTAGTGCTTGAATATACATACTTGATGTGTATACACACATAGTTTTTCATGAGGCTCTGTGTGTATCTTAAATAGTGTTCAGAATAGACAACAAGAGCCTACTGTAAAATTGTTTTTTGTTTTTTATATATAGAAGCGAAGGTAATTTCTCAGGGATTTCATTTTGGGATATTCCACTGATCATTCATATACATTTACAATTCAATAAAATTAAAGGATATTTGTGATATAATACAGTAACTGAAAACACAACAGAATTTTTTTAATTGAAATGATTTATTACTTTATAATTATCCAACCACACACACAATTTACAAAAACAGTTGTAGCCTGGTGAAATTAAACCAGCACAGGACACAGAAATATCTTTTGGAGTCTTTAATCTGAATAATAGAATATGGTGTTCAGCAAATAAAAAGAAATAATAACAGTTTCCAAATAAAAGTGGCAGACTGTCCTCTGCCCTATCTGCAGTCCTTGTAGATAAATAAAAATAAGCAATTGTTTAAGTCTCTAAGAGGAGTTAGAGCTATAATTTGTCAGATGTGACAACTGTTTTCCTGTTGGACTATTCAGGAAATACTGCCCTGACAATTATAGTGAGATAAGAGTAGGAAGATGAAAATGTGTACATATGTGTAAGTTGCCCAGACGCACAAAAAAGTATCTGCCACCAATGCTCTACTCCAAACAGGAAGTTGGCCATTTTGATTCAAATTTTTCAATTTGGCATTGATTTTGTGATTTCCACACCTTGTAATTTAACGAACTGTACAGATACAAAAACAACAATCAGTAGTCATTTATTTTTTTTAGTTTTGTCAACAACTCCCTTTCCATGTCTGTGTTTCCAATTTGCTGCAACATTATGGGTAACATTAATAGCCTCTAGGCCCTGGGGACCTGGGGGTGAGTGATGACCTGAGGCTCTGGTCATCCAGCGACCTGACTCAGGACCAGTTTCTCTGCCTTTTGTTGGACGTGATGGAGGTGGAGGTGGAGGTGACCACCACCTGTGCTTTTTTCCACATGTTCATCTACTCAACAGGATGTTAGGAGACTAGATGTGTGGTAATCAGCATCTGTTGGTGGTAAAAGCTACTCAAGCTGAAATAGCGACTGAGTAAACTTTTACTTTTTTTAATATGTGGAATATGAATAAAACCAAAGTGAGGAGCAATCATGGGTCTGTTTTTAAATTTCATTTTCACCCAATTATTAAAAACATTGAACAACATTTAATGACTTTCTCAAAGGCTAATATGAAAAGAAAGTGATGTTACATTTAATATGAGTTACGCATTAACTCTGTCAGTGATTCTTTTTATGACTGTAGCTGTGTATTTTTTCCCGGAAGTTTTCTCCCCTGTTGTCATGGTGAGTCATAGTATCGGAGCTCCATTGATGATGGCTTTATCACTAAGATGCTCAAGTCAAGAAATTTCCGATATTTACTTTGAAACCGATGCTATATTGCTGCATACTCTGTAGTTCTTATGCACAGAGCATGGCTGGCAGTGAATGCTTGAAAGACATAGCAACAGTAACCAAGGGAGCGGGGCTTAGCTAAGGATCATGTTATCCAATGACATTCCGTTTGGAGCTTCCACCTTGTTCCCCGGCGCTGCGT